AATAATATTAAATATTTTAAATTGGTTTACGAGAGTGACATTAGATTTAAAAAAAATACATTTTTTTACCCCTTAAATACAAATACTAATTTAAAATTTCGATTTGAATATTTAATTGTTAATACTCCAACAATATATTCATGAAAATAATAAATGGATAATAATTATTGTTTCACAAGGAGATAGTGCATACGCTTATATATTAATACATTTTTGTTTGAAAAATTAATATGTTTTATTTTTATGATATCCTATTATAAAAAATAGTAATTTTTTTGATAATTGAAACATTATTAAACAATTGAGGGAAAACCTAAATTTTGCAGACATTGGTTGCACGGTCTGTGTTCAACTTTTCGATTTTGAGTTATGGTTGTCTGAAAGCAGCACAGTCCTACTGGGGTCTCCCGAATACCTAAGGAGCCTACGAAAGTTCCACATGGGGGTCTATCTCAGTCAATACCCATATCGGTCAGCACACACACGTAGATGTGGATTCGTCCTTACCAATAAATATTAATAAGTCCCGACAAGTACGTTCACCGTTATGTCCATAACAACACTTTTACGACTGATTGATGTCTCAGTTAATGCACAGGTAATTTAAAACAAAAATTGTTTGTAGATATTTATTTATATATGTTCTATATATATATATGTCAATTACAGAATCGTACTTATTATTCATCTTTTCAAAGGACCGGTTTTTATGCCCAGTGCTTCTTTGTTGCATTAACTTAATTATTACTTTGGATTGATAAATTAATAATATAGTTTAATATTTTCCCCCAAGAAAACACGAGATTATTTATTTAAAATATCCAATTTTCCCTTCCCTCCTCACAAAGATGCTAGAACTCCAGTCTTCGGCTCTCAGTGCTAGATTGACGAAAATCGTACTAGGCGTGTTGTTAGCTATGCGCTCGGGTCGGGCCTCAAACATAGCTGACCGAAGCAGAATGTCTCACGTTCTTATAAATTTCCTGAAAATGAGTCTAGTTCCTTTTTTTTTTTTAACACGTAGGTCATTTACTATAATATTAATGTAACACAATTTTAAAAATAATAAATTTTTAAGACACAATTTGTAATCATTGTATTAATTTTGAGTACAAATTTCTTCTGTTTCATTAAGATTGTAAGGATTTTAAAATTATTTCAATATTAAATTATACTGACTTCTATAATCAGGCAATCAGAACATTGTTAAACTGTTTAAAATTGTTAGAACAATAACATGCACTTCTAACGTATAAAACAAATATATTAATGCATTTAAGTTCATTGTACGCTGGTTTTGTAGAATCAGATACTATGTGTCACTACTCTAAATATAATTTCTTCTATAAATCGTATATACGTGTACCCATTTCAATTAATAAGATACAAGTAATATCGAAAAACACTCATTTGAACACTTGATTAAACATATAATTATAATAATACTGTGTTATGACGTTTGGAATATCGAGAACGCATTACAGCTCTTAAATTAAATTATAAATTATTAGAGTATTCAAAAAGTGTTGTTCGATACCACTAGTAACAAACCAACTAAAACATCAACAAGTATGGTAAATTAGAGTTACAACAATTTTATTCAAAGTAGATATACATTTTTTCTGATCCTACATCACCAGCGTAAAATGAAATTAATTGCTTTAAAAATGTTGTTTTATACGTTTATAGTGCATGTTATTAATTCACAAATTCAAAGAAAAGTTTCAACAATGTTGGGAATAATTTCTGATAGAAGTAAGTTTCAAAATATCGTAGAAGATTTTAAAATAAAATATGATCTCGTAGAAGGGGCAGTAATTATTGATCAGTCTCAGGACAATAAATTCGGAAAAGTCTCTCAAGAGTTTATCTCTTTTGAAATCGATTTACTTCTAATATTCCAGCAGATGGCCTACGTGTTTGATAAAAGAAATGACACCAGACTCATTCACGCGGATTATTTTATAACGATCTGTACATATCTCCCGAGATGTTTGGATTTTATCAATATTAATGTCATTCAAAATACAATAACAGTTATGTTAAACAAAATTCATATAGTTCTATGTCATTCATTACCAACATATCTGAGGACATATATCAATGCTTTACCGAATCATATAGAAAGTGAACGTTTTAATGAGACAATTGCAAATAATTTGTCAGATATATTATCAATGACAAAAGATAAAACAAAAATAGATAAAAACCTGTTTGAGCAACAAAACTACAAGAATGAAAGTATGAATTTTATTTCAAGTGTTTATAAGATCATTGGAAATATCGATTTCATATCATGTATAGGTAAAAATCTCGGTATTATAAAGCAACATTATATAGAACATAATTCGAATACTAAGGAAATAAAATTCAAGGTGACTAAAGTAAGTACCAGAGACAATAAAAAACAAATCTTTTCTGAAATCAATAGGAATTTTCTGGAACTCAACACAAAGTATACAAATAATCTTCGGAACGAATGCGGTTTATCAAATGTTGAATTTCGGTCAAAAGATTTGTCAAAGCTCGAAACTATGCAAGAAATTGTTTTTTATACATTAAAGAAACTTCAACAATATTGTACAAATACTATATTGAATAATACAAAGACGAATTCAAAAGCAACCTTAAAAGACTTAAATAACACGACTGATATGATGGACATGTTACAAGAAATATGCCATAAAATGTCTTTAATTCTTGTCTATTTAATAGAAAATGAGGTTAACGACGACTCTATAATGTTCAGTACCTATTTGACGTTTTGCGGGGACTTCAAGGGATACACTGATGTCCGTTGCACCAGTGCTTTTCGCGGTACTGCAGCTGTTAAGAATCTCGAAGCCGAGAAGATTATATGTATACGGGAAACGGTGAAAAATATTTGGACGTGGAATATATTAATAACAACCACGGAGGTCCCGAAAAAAAAAGAAGACAAGCATTCAAAAAACGAAAACTGTAAAAATTTGTACTTGAAATATTTAGTGAATATCTACAATACTATCAGAGAATTTTACAACGAATTTGGCAGGTGGGCCAACTTTGTGTGGTTGAGTGGTAAATATTTTCTTGCCGAAAATATCGATAACCAAATTATGTACGATTTAAAATCAAAATATATAACTATTAAAAACGTAAATATGAGTTTATCAGTTGGGTACTATGCTATATTACCATGGGGTTTGAACACGTACTCTATAGGGACTTTCCATAATGCGATTGTAAACCACGTAGACAGAACAATGAATAAATTTGTTTACATATACGCACTAATCATACAATTGTACCTAGAGCGCACAAGTAGCATTGATTCCCGTGTTTTACAAAGAATACGAAATAGTGTTCGGTGGTATACCGACGGGACGGAATTATTTTATAAATATCTTTATTTACCCTTATACACCGATAAAGACGCACAGAATGAACCACAACCATCTGATAAAATTAAAACTATCATTAATAGAATTAAAAATATAGATGACAGCGGTAATATAAGTTTTGACGACATCATTCCTCAGCACGAAAAAAACGCTATTTTGGTATTGTCTGAAACTAATCTGCCAAACAACGATGATGGCTACGCAGACTTTAACAACGTTATAAATGAGAATTGTATGGACGCTATGGACTACATGTGTACATATTTTAGGATCGCAGAGAAGTCTATGGACATTTATTTGAAATTACATTCTGCTGATACTATGTACTCCGAGTACTGTGCGGAAAAAATATTTGATGTGAAATCCGACCAAAAGTCTATAAGAGTAGTTTGAGATCAGAAATGAAATACAGCGGCCGTTTCTAAAAGCGTAGTCATTGGTTCGAGTTCACCTGGAAATAAATCAGATAATAAGTCTTTTCAGATAGGTCCATTTAAAATTCAATAGAAACATTTATGTGAACGTAGTGTTGAATTTATTTTTTATGATTTTACAAATTTATATTTATTGTATATTTTGATAAAAATTAATAATATTTTTTATGTTCAGTTAACCTATATATTGAGCACATCTATATCATATTTTAATATAGTTACAATTGTAAAAATTAAAGACATCAAAAACAGTTTTTTAATTGACCTGTAGGACATCGTTGGAAACTAGTTTGAGTTTATCGCGGCCACTATATTTATATTTATTTTGCAATAAACTTTGTAATACGTGAACACACCTGCCATTACATTTTCATTAAATCATTTTAATACATATTCCAAGTAGATAAGTGTGATTTTAATATAATAATCAAATAATAAAATACATCGAAAAAATCAAATTAAAGAAAATTGCCGACTCCATTTTACAAACATACAAAAACAATGTTACAAATTAATGTTGAATGCTACAGTTATTTGTAAACGACCACAAAAATTTTACTGTATTTTCTTTGTTTCTAGATTCGTGATATAGTATTGCGAAATTAGCGGTTTATAATTTTAATTAAACGTATTTACATTTAATTTTGGGTTTTATTATTCTAACAATAAAACGCATTTTATTAACAACACTATTAATTAGTTCTGGTTTAGATAATAAACGTAGTAAGAAGTGTTTTATTTTAGTAATTCAAAAATTGTCAAAAGTTGTCAAATATTTTTTACATTTTGATTATGTTTTCTAAATAGCTGCAACACTGCGAGAAAACATTGGTAAACCTTTCACTGGTGTATTTTATTTTGAAAAGTTCTGCTAACAATTTAATGCCACAATCTTGCAAATCGATTATTGGCTAATTCGGCGTTTTTTTCCATAGCATTGGACACATTGGTGGCGCGATATTAGAGAAACACTTATGTTGCCCGAGAAGTCAGTTTACTAAATCGTAGGTTACATAAACTATATTTCTATGGATAAAATTGACAATCATTGACCATTCAATATAATATGAGATTTTATTGTTACAATAAACTTTTTGTTTCACATTAATATTACATTGGATTCAACTAGATAGAGTGTGTAACTACCCGAAATAGAATCATTTATAACTCTTATATACGTGTACCAATTTCGGTTATTATGATATAAGTAATGTGAAATAACAGTTTTTAGAACACATGATAAAACACACTATGTTTACTTATGCTTCATACTGATTTATGACGTAAAAAATATCGGGAACGTAGAAAATATATAAATTAATTATCGCTCGATACAGCCTTACTTTAGTGCCCGTTAATCATTAATAGTTAGTTATAGATACCTGCATAATTTTGCTACTATCATACTAAATGCACAGATAACACATACATACAAGTTGACAAATTTTATTTCGGAACAGGTACCTACATTAGTATATGCATTAGTACTCCTAAATCAATATAACATAAATATAAAAGTGCTCAAAAAAATGTTTGTTCGATAATACTAGTACCCTAAACGGAAACGGAAATACGTATAAACGAGTTTTAAAAGTTTCCATTCATAAAAGGTACACATTTTATCACATCCCACAACATAAGAGTACAATGGCATTTAATGCTCTAAAATTGGTGTTTTATACGTTGATAGTGCATATTATTGTTCCAGACATTCCAAGTAAAGTTACAACAACGTTCGGATCAACTAATGAAAGAAGTAAGTTTAATAATATCGTAAACGAATTTCAGACAAAATATAATCTCAATAAAGGGGCAGAGATTATTACCAAGCATCAAAATAAACGTTTCGGCCAAATACCTGGAGAATTTATCACTTTAGAAATCGATTTACTTCTAATATTACAGCAAATGGCCTACATGTATGATAAAAGAAGTGAAAGTGGACTTATGTATGAGGACTATTTTTTAAAGATCTGCTCAATTCTTNTTAATAATATCGTAAACGAATTTCAAACAAAATATAATCTCAAAAAAAGGGCAGAGATTATTACCAAGCATCAAAATAAACGTTTTGGCCAAATACCTGGAGAATTTATCACTTTATAAATCGATTTACTTCTAATATTACAGCAAATGGCCTAAATGTATGATAAAAGAAGTGAAAGTGGACTTATGTATGAGGACTATTTTTTAAAGATCTGCTCAATTCTTCCAAGATGTTTGGATTTTATCAATATAAATGTCTTTCAGAATTCAATAACAGTTCTTTTGAATAAAATTCATATCGTTCTTTGTTATTCATTACCAACCTATTTCAAGACATATATCAATGCGTCACCTTATAATATCGAAAACGAAATTTTTGATAAAAAAATTAAGAGAAATTTGGCCTCTATAATATTAATGACAGAAATTAAGACAAATAATAGTGACAAACTGTTTGAGCAACCGAATTACACAAGTGACAGTATAAATTTTATTCTAAATGTTTACGAAACCATTAGTAATGTCGATTTTTTATCATGTATTAGTGAAAATCTCGGTAAACTAAAGCAGCATTATGATGAACATAAATTGCATACTAACCAAAAAAAATTCAAGGTGACTGAAGTAATTACCAGAGACAATGAAATGCAAATAAATTCTGAAAACAATGTATATTTTCTGGAACTCAATAAAAATATGTAGATGAACTTCGGAAAAAATGCGGCTTATCATATTTTGAAATTCAGTCACAAGATTTGTCAAACTTAAAAGCAATTTTTTATTATACATTAAAGAGACTTCAACATTATTTTACAAATTCTATTTTGAACGGTTCAGAGAAACTTTCACGAGCAACCGAAAATGAAATGGAGGAGACGTACAATCTGATGGACACGTTAAATAAAATGTGTCAGAAAATCTCTTTGATTCTAGTCTATTTAAAAGAAAGTGAGGTTAACGACGACTCGATAATATTCAGCTTGTATTTGACGTTTTGCGGAGACTTCAAGGGATACACTGACATCCGTTGCACCAATGTATTTCACGGTACTGCAGCAAATAAGAGTCTCAAAGCCGTGAAACCTAATTGTACCCGATAAACGGTGAAAAATATTTGGACGTGGAATATATTTATGACCACAATTAAAGTCCCGAAAAAAAGTGGAAACAAATATTTAACCGAAAATTGTAAAATTTTGTACATGAATTATTTGAAGAATATCCACAATACTATAAAACAATTTTATAAAGGAATCGGTGTTTGGACCANTCTGTAGGGAATTTTCATAATGTGGTTGTACAACATTTAGACAGTACAATGAATACTTTCGTTTACAAATATGCGCAAATTATAGATTTGTACTCAGAACGCATAGGTATTAACGTCGAAGCTAATGATAACTTTTTTGTCGACCGTAGAGAAGTCTATGGACATAAATTTCGAATCCCATTCTGCTACTACTATGTACTCACAGTACTGTCCGGAAAATATATTTGATATTAAATCCGCTATCAAGCTTATGAGCGTAGTTAGAGACAAGCAAAATAAAAGAGAGGCCGGTTCTCAAAGCGTAGTCATTGGTTCGAGTTCACCTGGAAATAAATCAAATGTTAAGACTCTTTTGATGGGTTTCCTTAAACTTCAATAGAAAAGTTAGTGTGAACCTAGTATTAATTTTTTTTATGAATTTAATAAATTTATGTTTATTATATATTTTGATAAAAATTATTCATAGTTAGTATGTCCTTTTAACGTGTTTATTGTGTTCATCTATATCAACCTTAAATATAGTTACAATTTTAAAAATTAAATGAACAATACAAATATACTTTTTATGTATAGCAAATGTATTATGCTACTATTATTTGTAACTGATTACAAAATGTTATGTTTTTTTTTTCTGTATACAAATTGATGATATAGTTTTGCGAAATTAGCGGTTTATACTTTTATTTATGTGTATTTATTTTAAAATTTGGGTTTTATTATTCAAACAATAAATAGCAATATAATTAAAATAATTAGTTCGTTCTAGTTTAGTAATAAACGTAGTAAAATTTTTTTATTATATTATGTAGATAATTGTTTTTCTATATTGTAAAATTTTGTCCATCATTTTTTGGTATTGTGATTATTTTCCCTGACTAGTTGAAACACTGCGAGAAAACATTGGTAGTACGATAAAAATTTCTCTGATGGATATGTTTTTGAAAAGTACTGCTAACAATTTTATGCCAAATTCGCGTTACTCGGTTATTGGTTATTACGGCGTTTTTACCTATAGTATTGGAAACACTTATGTTGGCCGACATGTCAGTTTACTAAATCGGAAATTACTTAAACGTTCTTTCTATGGATATAATTGATAATAATTGAATATTTTTTATTATATAAAATTTGTTTGTTACAATAAATTTTTTGTTTCATATTGGATTCACATTATTGTTTATATAAAGACAAAATTTCGAAATTAATCACTGAAAAGCAATCACTTTTGTAGGCGGGAATTTTGGGAGGTATAGTATAAACAATACAATCGAAATGGTATGGTATAAATTATTGTAAATGAAAAATGATTAATAGGCAAACAATAGAATTTTACAATACACAATTGATCGCGTTTATATCATAGGGTTGATCTCAAAACGATGACATAATTAATAAAATATTGACGTAAAACCGACAAAAGACGATATAAACTAGCACAACCGAAATATTTAACTAGATATATAACAGGGAAAACAACATATTCTTTTAAAAGCTGCAGTGTGTGATATTACTTGTATCTTATTAACTGAAATTGTTACACGTATATACGATTTAAAATATATTCTATTCAGAGTAGTGACACATATTATCTGGTTCTACAACACCAGCGTACAATGAAGATAAATGCATTAAAATTTTTGTTTTATACGTAAGAAGTGCATGCTATTGTTCCTAGAATTTAAAATAGTTAAAACAATGGTCAGATTGCCTGATTTAAGATGTAAATTTATTAAAATATTGAACTAATGTAAAAAGCTTGAAGCAGAAGAAATAATTACTCAAAATGAATTCTATGTTTTCAGAATGTACAAACATAATTTATCACTTTTGAAATTGCGTTACCCTAATTTTATAGGAAATGACCCACGTGTTAAAAAATGAAACGAAACTGGACTCAATTTTAAGAAATTAATAAGAACGTGAGACGTTCTGGTTCGGTCAACTGTGTTTGAGGCCCCGCCCGAGCGCACAGCTGACGACCCGCCTAGTATGATTTTCGTCAACCTACCACCGAGGGCCGAATACCGGAGTTCTATCATTTTTGTGAGGAGGGAAGGGAAGATTGGAGAATTTAAATAAATAATCTCGTGTTTTTTGGGGGGAAAATATTGAATTATTTTATTAATTTATCAATCAAAAGTAAAAATTAATTTAATGCAACAAAAAAGCACGGAGCATAAAAACTGACCCTTTGAAAGGATGAATAATAGGTATGACTCTGAAATTGACATATATATATAAATATCTACAAAAAACTTTTGTTTTAAGTTACCAGTACATTAACTGAGGCATCAACCGGTCGTAAAAATGTTGTTTGGGACATATTAGAGTCAGGGACTTATTAATATTTATTGGTAAGGATGAATCCACATCCACGTCTGTGTGTTGACCGATATGGGTTTACACCGAGATAAACCTCCACGTAGAACTTTCATAGGCTCCTTAGGTATTGTGGAGATCCTGGCAGGACTGTGCGGTTGTCAGGTCTCATAGATTACCGCCTGGAAGAGTGGCGGAAACGAATTTTGTTCCATCTTGACTGGTCCGTAGTTTCGGTGGCCCTTAGGGTGAACTTGCAGGGTGCATCCAAAACTGGGTTGCGAAATGGGGAAAAATCGATCTATATATATATATATATATATTCAATTCTTAGATGCTCACACACGTGGATGCGAAACCTGGCACCTAGAGGGGATGGAAAATAAGAGAAAACAACAAAACACGGGGGTGATTGGCCTATCGCACTTAGGATACGGAACGCGGAAATAAGTATAGTGAGATGGACACACAAATCTAGCTGGTTGTTCCCATAAGTATTTTAGAAGTATTTAACATAAAAAGAAAACACTTGTATATACATATTCATACGGAGAAACCTTAATAAAATTACCTTAAAAACTAATTAACTAACTAATGGGGTATCGGCCAATTACTAAATCATATACATGTTGCCATGGTTCTCCCGAAGATGTCCGCCCCGCGGACCAGATCGGAACTCACTTCATTGATTCGTTCGAGGCACCATCATGAATCATGCCAAGGTACAAAACCTTTCCTCGGCGACAAAAATTGGTGAATCCGTGTAATACACGGGGGTATTTGATCAAAAGAACTGTATCTAGAGACAGTCTGGTGACAAAAATCTCGAAACGAGGTCTAAACATGAAGAAGGTAAAGAATGCACATAACAACTGGGTAGCGGAGCGCGGAGACGCTCGTAGCATGTCCCCGCAGGTCGAGGTTTTTGGCGATAAGGGGAAGCGTGATATAATGATGTGATTGGCCGTTAATCCGTAGTCAGAAATATATTATTATTACGAAATGCAACAAATTTCGATCACATAAACTTTTACGCGGGGGAATTATTGTTCATGATGAATTAACATATCCGTCGTTGGTAGGTATGCTTGTCCTTTGATAACGGGAAACAGTCGTTTTTGGGCGTTACAAACGGTTTGTACATTTCTCCCGAGATTTTTGGATTTCACGTAAATTAATGTCTCTTCATTATCTAATACAATTATATTGAGTAAAATTCATTTCATTCTTTGTCACACATTACCAACGTATTATATTAAATTTATCAATGCGAGCCCGGATGATAAAATTAAAAAATGGACAGAATTTTAACAGAATTATTTTACAAATATCTTTATTTACCTTCATAGGCTAATGTTGTTGAGTGTTACTGCTTCTGTCCTCATTCCGTCATGTTAATAAACTATATGTGAACGCTCATATGTTTATCATAAATATCATTACGGATTATATATTTGATATATACTTAAAATATAAGAAAATTTAATTAAACTGCGTATTCAAACGTTAAACACTTAACCCAGAATACTAGAATCGCGATTAGTGTATTTTTGATTATATCGACCCTAATCGTTCATAGTTTTCACTAAGTTTCGATGAAAATAATTATTATCACTAAATTTAAGTACTTATTCTGGTTTATGTGATTAAAATTTTTTTGGACCGAAATTCATAAATTTAAAAGGTAACTCAGACGAACAATTGTAATTCTATTGGTTATCTATGTTGTGGTGCATTTTAGATTCCTATGGAAGCAAAAAATGAATTTGTTTTGCTATGATGTGTTTTTTTTCGTCTTGGTTATCTTAATCACAATCGGAAAATCATAATTCAAAATCGAAAAGTTGAGCACAGACCGTGCAACCGATGTCTGCAAAATGTGTGAATTACCTCAATTGTTTAATAATGTAACAATTATCAAAATAATTACTATTCTTAGTAATAGGATATCATAAAAATAAAACCTATTAATTTTTCAAAAAAAGATGTATTAATTTATTAGCGTATGCACTATCTCCTTGTGAAACAATAATTATTATCCATTTATTATTTTCATGAATATATTGTTGGATTATTAACAATTAAATATTCAAATCAAAATTTTAAATTAGTATTTGTATTTAAGGGATAAAAAAAAATTTTAAATCCAATGTCACTCTCGAAAATCAATTTAAAATATTTAATATTATTAACATTAAAAAAAATCCGTGGAACGTGATGGTATACTCAATATATATTACAACACTTTACGTGCTGCAGCTTTTAAAACAATAGGTTGTTTTCCCTGTTATATATCAAGCTAAATAATTTGGTTGTTCTAGTTTACTTGGTTTTTTGTCGGTTTTACGTCAATATTTTATTAATTATGTCATCTTTTTGAGCTCAAGATCATGATAGAAACGCGATAAATTTTGTATTGTGAAAATTCGTAACAATTTTCTTATTCACCTATAAATCATTTTTCATTTACAATGATTTATTATTTCAAACAGTAAGTTGGCATAACATTTCGATTGTATTGTCTATACTATACCTCGCAAAATTCCCGCTTACAAAATTGATTGCTTCTCCGTGTTTATTTTCGAAATTTTGTTTTTATATACAAAATAACGTGAATCTAATGTGAAACAAAAAGTTTATTGTATAAAAAAAATTTCATATTATATAGAAAAGTCAATTATTGTCAATTTTATCCATAGAAAGATCGTGTAGATAACCTACGATGTGATAAACTGACATATCGGACAACATAAGTGTTTCCGTTTTATCGCGTTACGCGTGTCTCCCATACTATAGGTAAAAACGCCGTAATAACCAATAACTGAGTAGCACGCATTTTGCATAACATTGTTAGGAGTACTTTTCAAAAACATATCTACCAGAGAAACTTTAATCGTACTACCATTGTTTTCTCGCAGTATTTCACCTAGTTAGGGAAAATAATCAAAATACCAAAAAATGATTGACAAAATTTTTTATTATAGAAAAACAATTACCAACATACTATAATAAACAAGTTTTACTACGTTTATAACTAAACTAGAACGAACTAATTAGTTTTAATTATATATACATATATTGCTATTTATTGTTAGAAAAATAAAACCCAAATTTTATAGTAATTACATATAATTCAAATTATAAACCGCTAATTTCTTAACATTTTATCATCAATTTATAAACAAAAAATAAAACATTACATTTTGTACATGAAAAATATATTTGTATTGTTACATTTAATTTTTAAAATTGTAACTATATTTAAGGATGATATAGATGAACTCAATAAACACGTTAAAAGGACATATTAAATATGAATAATTTTTATCAAAATATATA